AGGGTTTAGGGGGGAATAGGAGTTCTAGGCTTATAGCTTATAGGGTAGTTATAAGTTTATAGGAGTGTCATTCCGAATCAGCTAGAGCCCAGGTGCTAGCGGGCACCGGTAACCCCGCCTTCTCGAAAAGCGATCGGACCCCTGCACATCTTGGCTTGTGTGGCCTCTTCGCCACTTTGGCGAAAATTGTAATCAGATTTCGGATAATCCACGCCTGGGCGTGGAGCTGTGAGCCTGACAGATGTGTCAATGTGTGCTGGGACAGTGTTGCTCATGATTCGTGATGCTCGGTTTGGATGCTGGCCTTCGGGTGCCTTCCGAGACACTGGCAGGTTATTTGTGTAAAACCTGCGCAGGAGCTCGGCGATGCCGGGCACGGTTGGTCGTAATCCTGGGATGGGGAGCGGTTTTCGTAGATGATTATCTAGGGCTTAGGGCTTAATGTATCTAATCCAAGGGTCCCAAAAGATTGATCACGGGAGCCAAGAGGTCCACATTGTCAGCCAAACTGTCTCTGGTCAAGTGAGGGTATTGCAGGATGACAAGCTTATCCTTTAAAAGCTGGGACATCACCACCCTGCTGTTTGCCCATGCCGAAAGCACAGGGCACGAAGCGTTGGCACTTGCCATGGCATCACCGGAAGACGAGTCCATCTTGATCTATACCATGCATGCAGCTTCTAGAATCTAGAAGTGCTAGATATCATTGCATGCATGTCGGTCTAGATCGATCGTGCATTGTTGCACATGGAGCCTTGAGAAATTACCGATACACGTTCATGTCCATGCCAACTCTCGATCGCGAAGTGCTCAATAAGACAAGCCGTTCCGACCTTGAAGATCTCGATGCCAAATGCAGCAGGCCATGTTGTGACCTGCCATTGATAAGGTACTTTCTGTCGAGGCGGGGCACGCGTACACAAACAAACATGCACAGGCTCACCTCGGGGTCGAAGATATGGAAACGATTCGGTTTGATGTTGAAAATGTTTCGGCATCACACTCAAAGTTCGGATTTAGAGGATATGGCCGCTTTTAAAGATTTATGGCCGATCTTTCAAGAGTGGCCGCTTTAGAGAGATTCCATAGCGAAACCCCAAAGGACGGAAATAAACATAACAAAGGAATGTCCAGGTAACACCCGAATACAGTGCACCTTTAAGAATCCTACGCGGAATGAAACAAATCCTGTAACACCCGAATACACCCTGAAAATTCCTTCGCTGAATGAAACAAATCCTGAAAAAAACACGCCTATAATTCCTTGATAAAGCCCGTTAAAACCTTAAGAGACCAGAAACCTTATAAAGCCTTGAAAACGACAGACACACTTACTTACCTGAACCTACCAAAACCTTTATTTGGTACGTTATTAATATAAACCCTAATAAGGAATTTATAGGGACCCTGCAAAAAAAAGCACAATTTGGGCAGGTGAAAGTATATTTGAGCGACCTAAATCCCCCCAAGATCCAGGCGTTTTTTCGCCGAGCCTGGTGTGGCTTACGATCAGGAGCCTCCTTGAGAAGATCATGCTGATTTTGTAGGGTTCATAGGGTTCAGGGTTTTTCGAGGCTTTGGAGGGCTTTTTGGGTTACCATATAGGATCTTAAATGTAGCAATGGCTAAACCCAGAAAGGGGGTTTAATGGAGTTTAACAAAAGCTTGTCTGAGTGCAATTACATAGTGGGTTCAGAAACAGCCGGCCTCCGGAGAAGGCCCTATCTAGAGCGTCGCGGCTTGGAGTTTGCGGGTTTTGGGGTTCGGGGTCTGAGGTTTAGGGTTTAGGCATTAGGGTAGGGTAAGGAGGATTGAGGGTACGGGCTTCATGCAGGGCTTCATAGGGTTGAAGGTCCATAGTTTATAGGAGGCTAACTGCTGGGGGGTTCAGCGTTGATAGGATTGAGGGTAGAGGTCTCAGCGTTTTAGAGTTTTAGAGCTTATAAGGTATAGACGGTTTGAGGTTTAGGGCCGTTTAGGAGAGGCTGGTTTCAGGGTAGGGGCTGCAAGGCTTATAGGGGTAGTCCTCTAAGTTTGGTCCCTCTTAGGTCACCAAAGTAGTATGTGGCACCCTCAAAAAAGCGACCCCCAAAAGGAACCCTCACCCCCCACCGAAGTAGCCAGAAACGTGGAACATCACCATCCCCCTGCCCCCTGAAGTAATATCTTAAAGCATAGGAAGCTTTATGCCACGAATCATCCCAAATCCATGGTTCCTACTTTCTGGGGGCTCGGAGTATGGATGAGGGCTTTGTACGACTGGGGGTCTTAGTTCGGATTGTCGGGGGCAGAGCATTTATGGTTGCTTGAAGGGCTTAGGCTAGAGGGTTCACGATTTGACAAAGCGTTTATCAGGTGTTTTGGGATTTAGGATATGTATAGCCACAGGCTCCTCAGTAGTTCCTCTTAGGGATTACCTTGTCGGATCCTAAATATACACCACCAAAATGGAACTACTTAGGAGCCTATGGGTAGCATGTGTTCAAAGGTGCCTTTTTAAGGGTTTCAGCTTCCCCAGGATTCTAAAAGCCGGATGTACGGGGCAAGTCAAAGCCGATGCTTGCATTTTTGTGCTCAGATCGGAGTCTCAGAAATCAAAGTATAATATACTATATACTATGTATATTATTATGTATTGTATATTATATATTATAGATTATCGGATCCATATACCGCCGACCCTGAAGCACAGGATCCCTATCGCAAGGACACCCCCAAAATCGGACACCTTCTTTTTGTGTCGCTCCCTGTTTATGTGCAGTGACAAAGTTCAAAGTCAACAGAGAGGTTCCCGTCAGGGCTATCGAAACTTCCGATACGGCAGGGATTTATGTCTTCAAATTTTGGCTTAAGCTTCTGACTGGGCAAAGCTCTAACTCCAAATATCTGGAGGTGCGGCTGCAGGACTGGAACCTCGGGCGAGAACAAACGCAACTGCAAAGAAAGCGCATTGTCTTGAACACCAGATGTTACCACGACGAAAGCAACGGCAACAGCGGCAGGAGAAGGAGGAGGAGGAGCAGTAATAAGTACCAGTAGTAGTAGGAGTAGCAGCAGCGGCATCATAAGGATAACATACCTTACCGAGCACAAACTTCGCATTTCATCAACACACATTGATTGTCCAGTGTAGGCCGCAGAAGACACATCAACCTGCGCATCCTGTACTTGGGTAGGTGAGCATTGTAGAAAAGTGAGTTTTGCGGAATTGCGAATCCCTTGTTTGTATGGGTTCTCGTAAAGATTCCACGTCGACCGAGGAGAACAGTGGCAACACAATCATACAAAGTACAAGTACACAAAGATAACCGGGTGGCAACTAACAAGACTAAAGTAACAAGGAGGCTAATGAGAAGCAGCCAGCCGCGACTTCTGAACCTTTTGACCCAACATCCTTGGACCAGGCCTGAACCTTAAGTTTTGCAAGCCTGACCTTCACGATGCCTTATATCCTGAAGCCTGCGCGAATTTTCAGTATCCCGGTTCTGGCTGAAGAGAGATTATGTTACCAGAGATACATCTACAGACTTGAAAATAAGGGCTTCTAAGAACCCTAAATCCCTAAATCCCTAAGTCCCTAAGCGTTTAGATCCCTAATGCTATGTATGGTTTTGGGACGGTTTTTGGCATCTAAGACCCCGTCGATCTTGGCTTGCCTGTGACTTGACCACCGACGGAACCCTAAATCCCAAACCCTACACCCCAAACGGTTTAGGGTTTAGGGCTCAAGCCCTTAACCCCAAACCCTGAACCCTAAGCACAAAGCCTTAAACCCTCACGACAGGAGACAGGTATGACCTTCGATGGAATTTCCCTGGATCCTGCCACAGGTGCGATTTAGATGAAGGGGCTGGTTTTAACAGTTTTCGGTTTTAGGATTTCAATTGGGATTAGGGCTTTAGGGGTTTGGGGTTTAGGGTTGTAGGGTTTGTGGGTTTAGGGCTTGCTTGCAGGGTTGTCGGTGCTTGGGCCAAGTCTCCAGGTGTAACAGGTTTGCAAGATGATGTTCTTGTACGGTGGCTTGCGCTTTTATTATCTTACTTCTAGTTTCGGTGTGTCATGTGATGTTGGCTGAGGGCCCAAGGTTTAACATAAGCGGGCCGGAGCCACGTTTTTTTGGAGAGGGGGGGCTGAGGTTTGATTACTTTCCGGATTTAGGGTGTGAGGACTGGGATAATTAGGCTTAGTCTCTAAACCCTAGAACCCAAACCTTAACTTCGTAACCCTAAGCCCCAACCTTTGGCCTCGAAGCAAACCCAAAAGCCAACCCAAAACCCTAAATCCTAAATCCTAAACTAACCCCCAAACCCCTAAAGCCCTAAACCCCTAAGCCTAAAACCTTTGGAGCAGGCGAGCTGAATCGCGGTCCTCCTCCCCCCGCCGGACCCTTTGGCTTTTCAGCAGCATCCAAGGACGACGTTCCTTGACGAGCTGCTTTTTTTTTCGTCAGGTGGTTTAGGGCCTTTTATTGTCTATAAGGTTTAGGGTTTAGGGGTTTAGGGGTTTAGTTTCTAGGGTTTAGGGTTTAGGGTTTAGGGTTTGGTTTGGGAGTTTCAGAAAGCCGGTCACCTTTGTTTCGGTCTCCTTATAAAAAAGGATCCTGCTTTATTGGTATCACCTGTTTTTCCGCAGCTCCCTTTTCAGTCTTAGGGTACAAGGAATTGGGGAAGAGGGTCCAGGGAACGGGCTTAGGGCGTAGTAGGGCCAATTGGGATGGGACCAGCGGTTGGCAAGTTACTATAGATGCCTTAGAGTTCCCATCACAATCGTTACCGCGTCTCTCCCAAAGCCGTGCTCCAGGCATCTCTACGACCTCCCTACACACCTTTTGAAGGTTGAGGGTTTAGGGTTAAGGG